AATGGTGGGACCTGGAAAGGATCATCCTGAGTGAGTTATCCCAGAAGCAAAAAGACACGCATGGTATATACTCACTCATATAAACATACAACATAGAATAAACCCACTAAAATCTGTACATCTAAACAAACTAAGCAAAAGAGAGGACCCTAACTAAAATGTTCAATCCCCATCCTGAAAGGCAAAGAGGATGGACATAGGAAGAAAAAGAAAAATAGGAAACAACCTTGGAACCTGCTACAGAGGGCCTCTGAAAGCCAGAAGAAAACAGGAAACAACCTTGAAACCTGCCACAGAGGGCCTCTGAAAGCTTCTGCAGTATAGACTGTCAAAGCAGATGCTGAGCCTGATGGCCAACTGATGGGCAGAGTGAATGGAATTTTATGTAAGAAGTGGGAAATAGTAAGAGCTGGAGGGGACAGGAACTCCACAAGGAGAGCAACAGAACAAGATAATTTGAACACAGGGAACTTCCCAGAGACTCATACTCCAACCAAGGACTATTCGTGGAGATAACCTAGAACTCCTGAACAGATGTAGCCCATGGCAGTTCAGGGTCCAAGTGGGTTACATAGTAACGGGAAGAGGGACTGCCTCTGACATAATCTGATTGGCCTGCTCTTTGATCACCTCCCCCTGAGGGGAGAGCAGCCTTATCAGGCCACAGTAGCGGACAATGCAGCCAATTTTGATGAGAACTGATAGACTAAGATCAGAAAGGAGAGGAGGACCTCCCTATCAGTGGACTTGGGGAGTGACATGCATGCAGAAAGGGGAGGGAGGGTGGGATAGGGAGGGGAGGAGGGAGGGGCTTATAGGGGGATACAAAATGAGTAAAGTGTAATTAATAAAAAATTTTAAAAAAAGTCTGTTTTTTTTCTAATGAGAGACACCTAGAGGTAGGGAAAGAAAACACAGAACTCAGTTCTGACTTCTATGTAGAAGCTTCCAGAAGCATAGCTCGCTGAATAATAATAATAATAATAATAATAATAATAATAATAATAATAATGTAATAATATAACATTGACTGATACCTGTGTCCTCACTGGTTTCAGTTTCAACAGACTGTAGCATTCTGTATCCCGCCATGGTAGATTTTTTTTTAATTTACTTTATTTTCCCTAAGATAACACTTATTTTAAAATGGCCCATAAAATTTCTGCTTATATGAATAACAAAAGCAAAGTGATCATGTAGCCAGCAAGGCTTGCTCTCCTAGCCTCGGCAGACTCTCCACTTTAATTTAGGTACATGACTGAAAAATCTAACGAGATCTGAGAGTCTGACAGAAAATATGGAAGGAGGACCATGAGCATGTCTACTAAGGAGAGCATAGAATTATCTTATTTCTATGACTCTCACTGAAAATTATATCTATCAGTTTTTCTTGGACCACTCCTTGCAGTAGCATTGCTAGATTACATAAACCACAGCACTTAAAAAAAAAAGTATCTCAGAGCTCAGCTTCCACTCAGAAGATGGGGGTCTGTCTCGTTCTTTTAAAGTACTTAAACTCGTAAACATCAAAGGCAAGCGTTCCCCAAAGTTTTACTCTTCTTACTGATAAATATTAACAAGGATTCCTGAGGTCTGTTTTTTAATTAAATAACTAGGATTCTAATTACATGAAAAGCATGCTCACTCTTCCTGACATGCAGTTATAAGAGTATATAAGTATCAGAGTATTAAGGTGAGTGTGTTATTTTAATGATAAGAATTTTTCATCCAAAAAACTGACTCATTTCCAGTACCCAACATGCACAAAGGTCTTCTCTCGTAGCCTGAGCACCAGGTGAACTCAGTTTCTCTGGACTAGACAATGCAAAACAGCAAACCACTCGGTAAACACAGAGTCTAAGATTAGACTCTCCTTCCAGTCCAAAAGACCTGGGGTATGGAGCAACAGTTGAAGGTGGCAACTCTTCGTGTTTATAGGGAAACTGAAGTGCATTGACTCGGGATCCCAGCTCTTCAAATACTCGCCTTCTTGTCCAATATTCAGAGCTGTTTTCCAAACTTCAGAAGTGGTGACAATTGTTGCGTTAGCGACATTTGACTATGCAGTTCAGTGAACCACAAGCATGTAAACCTGCATTCAGGGAGGATGGTTGACCAATCCCGACTTACACAGTAGAAGGAAAAGAAGGCTCAGATGTGCCCTGGTCTTCTACTTTGGCACACAGAAGACTGTTAATCTGTCAAAAGTTCCTGACAATCAAGTAAATTTTGGAGCATGGATGTGATTAAATTCCACTGTCACACCAAAGAGGTGACAGTTTCCCCACAGATAGCAGTAGGCATTACCATTTTGACTAGTTTGTCCAAGTCATATAACCATTATCTTTTTTCATACTCACACAATCGATGAAAAACTGTTGTTTCCTGTATGTGTGTTTCTTTGTTCATTGATTTAGATTTTGTTAGCATATATTCATTTATGACACTGTCATTTAAATATATTGCATGCTTCAATTTATTCGGCAGGACCTCCTTCTACCCTTCCTTCCTTGGTATCCCTTCTCCTCCCAAATAATTTCCCCTCTCCTTCCAAGTCTTTTTCTGAAGTCTAGGTTCTGAGCAGAAGAGGAAACAGTGTTCTATCCCTGTGCAGCTTGTTTTTGTTAGCATGATAATCTCTAGCTGCACCCATTTTCCAACAAACAACACGATTTCATCATATTGGTAAAGGGATTCATCAATTAATGGACACCTGCACTTCCTTAATTTAGCTGTTGGGGATAGTACGTCAGTAAACATGGATATGCAAGCATGTCTCTGATACACTGACTCGGAGTCTGTCAGGTATATACCAAGGAGGGCCAGAGATGAATCACATGGTAGTTACATGGACAAATCTCCACAATAATTTCAAAAGTGGCTGCACAAATTTCCTTTCTTGTTGCAGGCACCTTGCAAGGCTATAAATCGTCTTGTTTTATACTCATCTATGAATACTGACTCCAGACAAATTATATTTTGGCTGCTATTAGCTAAGAATGTTAGTGGTCTTCCCTTGCCCATGAAGGATGCATTCCAACCAATAATGGTGCCTGAATTCTGCAAACAAATAGTTGTCATTAAGTATCCATGGAGGGTGAGTATGAGAGTAAAATTAAAAGTTGCCCAAGCCCTTTATACAAAATGGTATAGTATTTATATTTAATCTTCTGACATTCCACAATGTACAACAACTCATCTCTAGATATATATCATGCCTAATACAAGGTAATTAATTTCCAGAGGAATGATGACAATAAAATGTCTGTACGTGTTCAATATGGACATGATGTTATTTCTGAATAGTTGCAACCTGCAATTACCTAAAACCCACAGGTACAGAACGTGGATTGTACTTTTGTTCCCTAAGGCATGCCTAAGGTAAATTCTGGCTTATAAATTAGGCACAGTAAGAGATTAACAACAACAACAACAACTAATAATAAAAGCAAAGTAGTTAATTCTAACAAGCTACTATAGTAAAAAATTTTAGGTCTGATTTCTCCCTTCAGCCCCTCTCTCTCTTTCCTTGCTCCCTCACCCCCCCCCCACACACACATATGTCCATTTGCTTGGCTACATTTACTAACCATAGTTAACGATGCATCTCAAAGCAAAGACTAATATTATTACTGCTAAGGAAGGGAGACATATTACACTGAATGATTTCTCAAGGGTTGCCTTGCATTTGGGACCACAAACCCAGATTTGTGCCTTTTATCCCTGAACTCATTCTAATGCTCATTCTAATTTAGAAAACTGACTATTTAAATTCTCACAGTTCTCCAAACCTTCTAATATGTGGTTCAGATTTGTAATGCTATTAACAACAAACAAAAGAAAGAAAAAAGCAGACAAAAGAGAAAAAAAATGATTGAGCACTAGTATTATTCCTGAAACTGGCAAATTAAATTACAGAGGCTAGGACAATGCTTCTTGCTTATTTCAACTTTTATTTTCTGTCCTTCTGTTAGTTTTTAATCTGCAGTACTTTCTATAGTTAACAGCAAAGTAGAATTAAAGTTTATAGTAGCTTTTAATATTAAGAATTGCCTTCAACTGGGTTTAAAAGCCCAGTGTTTTCCTTCAAAGGAAATAGGAGCAAACTCTTGGCTGGCCACTGTGTTGAGACGACACTGAGATGTGGGTGTTCTCAGCTCCATCCTGAAACTGTCAACACCAGGTATCAGAGTAAAGAGGGAGCTTAAAAGAGGGAGCAGGCAGGCCAGCATTCAGTACCATGTAGGTAGCAGAACACCTGACACTTGGGTGTTTACCAACTGTGTGACGATAGCTTCCAAATAGAAGTTCATGGAGAGGAGCCAGGCACCACCACTCCTGAAGACTGACTGGTCATCTACAGATTCCAGATCAAACACACCTCAGGTCTCAAATATAAGAATGCTATTTGCTTAAATAGAAGTCACCAGTGGAGTACGTTAAATTCTGGTTTGGACGCCCACTGCGCATGACTGTGACAATTAATCTCAGGTGTCAACATGATGGAATCTGGGAATCACTATGAAGATAATTCTGTGAATGCTCCTGGCAGGCTATCTTGATTAGGTTTCCTGAAGTGGGAACCCACCCTGGAAGAAAGTGGCTCTGTTTCTTGGTTTGGGGACCTGTCTAAATAACATGGAGTATGCTGGCTGAGAACATGAGGAGATTCTCTGACTTCTGATTGTGGATTCAACATGACCAGCTGCCTCACATTCCTGCGGCCATGACTTTCCCTCCACCATAGACTGTGTACAATTACTGGGATTGTAGATCAAAACAAAACCCATCTCCCTTAAGCTGTTTTCATCATGGGTACTGAATCACAACAACAGGAAAGGTAATTGAAATATTCTCATAACCAGGGCTTGAAAATAAATTATAAATAAATACATACTGTGGCCTCCATCTCTCCCCATTCATCCATGTTTCACCGAATATGGAACTGGCCATGGGAACATAAACCATGAATGTATATTTATGGAGTTATACTCATGTACCTCTTCCAAGGTGGTGTCGGAGATCCCATACCCTGTCAGGTGCAGAGGCTGTAAGTTCTGATCCAGGGCCTGGCAGAGCCCCTTGAAGCAGGTCTTGTCTGCATCCTTGGGGATAGTGTAGGCCAGTTCACCTCCACTGCTATCTTTGAGGACCGCTTGAGGAATATAGACCTGTATCAGTGATGTGACACGAGCCAGATCCGTGGGTTCCTGGCTTTCTAGGACAGAGGGCTGCCAGGAAAGGAAGTAGGTAAGAGAGCAGTAAGGAAGTTCAATCCAAACACTGACTTCCCGAATAATTATACTCATAAATGTATTGTTTCACAATTCTATTTCAAAACAAGGGTAGACTGCTGCATTTAAGCAGAAGGGGGCATTTTCAAAGATGTGTTACATATTATCATTTTCTTTTTAATACATGTGTGTGCACATGTAGGCATATCTGCACCACTGTGGAAGCCAGAGGACAGCTTCAAGAGTCGTTCTCCGGAAAACTTTTGTCTCCTTTAAAACTCTCCCTGAATCTGGAGCTCATTAATCAGGCTAGAGTGACTGGCCAGGAAGCACCAGGGATTTTTCTGCTTGGCCTTTCAGCACTGAGATTACAGCTGCATGTCATCAACCCTGGGATCTTAACATATGTTCTGGGAATCTAACTTAATGCCTCATGTTTGCAAAAACAAACACCTTATCGGCTGAGCCATCTTCCATTCCCCCTTTATTTTATAAAACACAAATCCACAGTGATAAACCTGGTGAGTTTATTTTTGACCCATGTGGCCATATTGGTTCCAAGGGTCCTGCAGATATTCTTCAGGGATCTGTATTGGAGAAATGTTCTCCTTCCCAGAAGAGTCATAGTGGAGACTCAAATCCTACCAGTTGTATTGCAGAGAATAGGTCTGAGTGTTCCAAAAGTAAGAACTAGGATTCCTAGCTAAAGAGAAAGGGGCCCTCTTTAAATAACAACATAGTCACCTCAACTAGATAAAAGGCAAAGAGAACTTATGGCTCAAAGGGCTCAAGGGCAGACTTTTTGAAGTTCACCAAGGATAAGACAGTCATGAAGACCTGGGTAGTGAGTTTCTGGATTCTAACCCCAGGGTCTCTGCTTTTATCCTGGCTGATAGTAAGCAGTTGTACCTACAGATGTGACTTAGGTTCCATCTCTCAGGCCTTGACCTTAATTGTTCTATCTCTCTACTGATGTGTCTCTACACTGGGCAAGGGAGTATCACTGTCAAATGATTTCTAGAATGCCTTTGCCATCATGCTTCCGGATAGCTGCTCTTGGTACTTATCAGGTCACTGTGTTTGCTCTTATTTTTTTCCAGAAGATCAAATGCACCCTAGGGTTCACAAGTGATACCCCCTCACTGTTCAGATCTAAAAGGAGTTATTTAGAATCCTGGATATTATGCAGAAAGGCCTACAGTTAGACATAGTTATTGTACAAGTGTCATGCTTTGTTTTGGGTGACATGGGTGGGACAGGGCTTCCCCCAGTGGAATTAAAGAGCTTCACTTCTTACTTGTTTGGTGAGTGTCAGAGTGAGTCCTTGGCCATAGGTCTCCTTTAGGCCTGCAGGAGGAGCATAACATCTGAGCCTACCCTGCTGGAGAACAGCCACGTGGTCACTGAGCATCTCAGCCTCGTCCAGGTGGTGGGTTGTGAAGATGATTGTGCGACCTGGGTCCAAGCAGAGGGTTCGTTAGAACAGGGTAACAGAGGCTCTTTCTTAAGAATGGTGTCCTGGGACAGGATTTAAAGAGAATCACCAGTGTTTTAAACAGGGGAGACTGAACTGGGGCTGTGTAAAAGCCTAGCCAAGATTATTTTGAAAATTAGAGATTCTGAAAGCTATTCTTTAGAGTTTACCAAAAGGTTTTCACTTCTGCTTTCACAAATTCCTCCATTAGGTTTAGGAGATACTGCCAAGCAGGAAAAGAGAAACAGATATAAAATAAAAGCCCTGAACACAGCATCTTTGTTTTCTAGGGCTCAGATGTAATAGCCCCAAAACAGACACTGCATCTGAGAAATCATTCAGAATCCTTGAACCACAAGAACATGGAGACAAGTGTGGGAGCTGGGGGTAGCAGTTTGAGTCGTGGGCCTAAGGGGAGAGATGGCTGAGTCTCGCACTGTGGCTTCCTCCTGCAGAAATGCATGTTTAGCTCACATGTGACTACAAATGAATTTAAGAATTCATTACCTTTCCTTGTGGAGAATAAACGATTCTGGTTTACCTAGGGAGAAGAGAAGCCAGAGAAACTAAAGGTATGTAGGGAAAGTTATTTCAGTTATGGAATAGATGTTTTTGCTTTTAGCTACTTTTCTCCCATTGAATCAAATTGAGCCTCACTTTGTTGTTACATAAAAAAGAATAAACAAGAAAATAAATTTAAGTTGACAATGAAAAACTTGATTTTATTTCTTCCTAATTTCATGTTTTTCAAATAAAGGAGAAGGATTAAAAGACCAACAGGCTTAATTATTTTGTTCTTTCCTTGGGTCCTTGGGTTTGTTTTTATTATTGCTTGGTTTGATTTTATTTGTTTTTGGTGGTGGTAGTGATTTTTTTTTTTTTTAGCTGTATCTCAATTGGTAGCTGAAGCTGGTCTGCAGATTGCATGCAAACAAGACTAACTTCAAGGTCACAGCAATATTCCCATTTCAGCCCTATCATTGCTGGGAATTGAGCCACAGTATATGGCTTCTAATTAACTTTTAGAATCCATCTCAAAAGAAACAATGAAATGTAGTGCAAAGAACAGTATAGAGTAGAGTGCCCTATACCAATTCTTTCTATATATGGATTACAAAGACCATGGACAATATCTTTGTATTCTTGTTTCTGGGTGCTAAGAAAGTGAGCTCATTGCCTGACCTAGGATCATCAGAGGCAGATTAGTTACTTTGATTAGAGCTATCGTTCAGTTCAGATGCATCCTCATACAATACAACAGTCTAAAAACCCGAAGTCCATGGATTCCAGAGTCTCAGTAGAAATGAGGGGCAAAGGGTATTGCAAGGGGCTGAGAGAACAGGAAGAGGAACAGAGAGACACTGGCTAAATTACATAAAACTTCAGTTATGCAAGGCAGTAGATCCTGAGGACCCGTTACACAGAACAATGGCTAAAAAGACTCTTTGAGCATGTGAAAAATACAGATAGATTAGTCCTTCAATACTACACACACACACACACACACACACACATTTTAAGATCATGGGATGTTGACTAGCTCTGTTTAATCTTTTTTCTATGCATATAAATCTCAAACATCATGTCATATGTATAATTTTTATTGTCGACTCTACTTTACCAAAGCTGGAAAGAATCCGCAAAGAACTTAGCTCATAGCCATAGATACTTGATTTATGATGACTCCTTACAGATGTTACAGGAACCTGAGATGCTGCTCTCCTCTCAAAGACTATTCTCCCAAGCCATTACCTTATCTCTTCTTTCTGATTCTGGTAGTGCGGCCAACCTTATCCAGACATTCTTCCCCAAAGCTGCATTCCCTGAATTCACATCTTGTGTGTTTTTAAAATGATGATACCCTCCTCATTTCTGGAGAGTCCACACATCAGAACTGAGTCGTGCACTTTTGCAAACAGCTCATCGACACCTTGCAGGAGCTTCCTTTGCCATGGTATCGGTGACTGCAGACTCACAGTTGAGAACGAGAGACATAGAAGGCTTCTGTGACAACCTCTTCTCCCACCCCCACCCCCACTAAAAGAAACAGTTTATACAGGAAGTCACTGAAGAGAACTCCTAAACATTGTGATAAGGATACTGAAGTTTATGTATCTCTATACAGTTGATGGTTGATGGTGGAGGGTGGGGTGGGAAAGGACTCAGTTTTCTTTAAGAGCTGTCCACTGGGAATTTGATCATGTTCCAGTGGTATATGAGCAATACAAATTGGACTCATTTGTTTGTTTGTTTTGGGTAAGGTCACAATGGTAGAGGAGGACCTGGGAAGGCTGGGAAGGGAATGTGACCAGGGTAGGTTGTGTGAAATTTTCAAATAATCAATAAAACGTATTATGTTAAAAATAAAATTTAAGGCCTGGTGTTTGAGAGACAGAAAGAGAGAGAGATTCATATGAGATGGTGAGACAGTCTCCTTCTACAACAGAGAACATGGAGGCTTAGAGGAGCTTGGCCATCTCTCAAACCTCACAAAGATAATGCACAGCTAGTCTGAAACCTGGTCTGGCCATTTGCTTTTGATGTGCTAGCTTTGCTCTAGTCTCTCTGCCTCATTATTGATCTTTCCACAGGAGACACTAAAGTGCTGGCACCAGGGCTGATTAAAAAAAAAAAAAAACTCACATTGTCCACCAAATAGCAAGAAGCACACAGGAGATTCCCAATAGACTGAGTATGGGTGCACAGTGTTCTGACAGAAAATCCCCTCTCTACTCAGCAGATAACATTTGTTTTCACATGGTCTTAAATCTTTCTAAAAGCTGTGCCAGTTGCCAGAAACTCTAAGGCTGTTTATAGGAATGGCTATACATTTTCATTTTCGAAGACTTGTTTTCCTCTTACTACTGTCTAGCTAATCTTCTTACAGACTATTAATTTTGCACTTCAATCAGTATAACAACAGTTCCAAAGGAGTCTTCCAAAGATGAGAATAATCATCGTTAAACAAAAAAGGGTGTAACAGCAGAGTTTAATGAGGACTTTCTTTTTCTCAGACCTGCGTGGCATCTGTCTATTCTGATTATTTAAACTTTAAACGTTCTATCAGCTAAACATTCAAGAAGAGAAGAGCTGGAGGCTGGGGAAGAAAGCTATGAAATGCCATCCCTTGGACATGACATGACTGTTTTATATATATGAACCCATGGCTGTGTGACTAGCTGCACAATACCATGACAGTTGTTGCTGGGGTAGGAAGAATAATTTTTTCTTGAGGATATGGCCAGTGCTAGGTCTTCTAAGCTCTGGTAGATGGTTCCACCCCTGTGTACTTAAGGGCAGCTCTAACTGGACTTAATTGATCATAAACAAATAAACAAACAAAAAGGCATGAAGTTGGAAGGCAGCATGTTGGGGAGTATATGAGAGGAGCTGGAGGTGGAAAGGGGAGGTACATATAATATTCCATTATATACGTGTATGCAACTTGCAAAAATAAAAAACACCTTCCAGAATATAGAGAGAAAGGACTCCCAAAGAACTAGATGCAGTTGAAAGTTGTTGAGAAGAGGATAGTCTTTTTATCTGGTGGGGGGGGGGAGTGAGGGGAATGAGTAACAGTAAACTGGCCCATGTCCCAGTAGATGACACCACACCCATAAATATGGGCAGCACTAGCTGGACTCAGTGAGCTAACTTTTTAAATAATTAATCAGTGTATTTATTTACTTTACATACCAACCATGATTTCACCTCCCTCCACTCTTCTCAGTCCTTCCGCCAGTCTCTCCTTTCCCTCAATCCATCCCTTTTTGCTTTCTTTTCAGGAAAAGAGAGGCCTCCCATGAATATAAACCAGCCTTGTTATATCAAGTTGCAGAAAGACTAGGTGCATCTTCTCCTATTAAAGTTAGACAAGGCAGCGCAGTTAGGAAAAGGGATCCCAAAGGCAGTCAACAGAGTTAAAGACAGTCTCTGTTCCTGCCTTTAGGAGTTCCACATGAAGACCATGCTACGTAACTGTTTCATATGTGTAGAGGACCTAGGTTAGTTTCATACATGCTCTCTTGCTGGTAATTCTGTGAGTCTATATCTGTCCAGGTTAGTTGACTTGTAAGTTTTCTTATGGTGTCCTTGACTTCTGTGACTTCTATAATCCTTTCTCCTCCTCTTCCACAGGATTCCCCAAGCTCCGCCTAATGTTTGGCTGTGGGTCTCTGCATCTGTTTCCACCAGTTGCTGGGTGCAGCCTCTCTGATGATGCTTATGTCCCTGCACATCTTGTAGGCAGGACAAATTTGAGGTCCAAGCTTTTGTGGTTGAGTTGGTGTCCTAATCCCTCCATTGGAAGTTTTGCCTGGGTACAGGAGATGGCTCCATAGCTCCAATGGTAAGAGTCATCCTCAGATTCCTGGGATTTTCCATTGCCATAGGTTTCTAGCTCGTTCCAGAGATGGCCCCCTGCTCCAACTTTCCAGTTGACTCTAATAGTACTTTGTCCTGCCTCCTCCTGGTCCCTCCTGTTCCTATCCCTTACTCCTCCCTAGCCCTAACCCCTCCCTGATCCAGTCCCCCCTACTCATCGTGACTATTCTATTTCTTCTCAGTGATATTCAAGCAGAGCCAATTTTTAAAATCATAAAATTGGAAGTATAGTGTGTTAATGGAGTAGGGAGAAATGGAGACAGTGGAGTATGGCTATGTTGAAAACACATTATATACATGTTTAATTTTTTCAAAGAATAAAATTTTTGAATGACAACAGCATGAATCATTAAAGTTTAATTTAAAAATACATCAAAAGTAACTCTATCTATGATTTTTAAATCAAACAATAGAAGTGGGATTGTCCTGTTTAATTTGTACAACCTACAAGAGCAGGGGCATTATGATCCATTTATCTAAACCTCATCCATCTTCTTTATCAGTCCCCACGCAAAGTAGCAGGATAGCCAGGAATTTTAATTTCTCAAATTTTAATCAGTGCCCATAAGCTACAGCCCATGTGTTTCATCAGAACTTCACATTTTCTCGTTCCAGACCCTTCATCTGCTCTCTCCAAAGGGCATACATGTAAATAGAGCAAAGAGGATGAAGGGACAGTTAAGATTAGAGGTGAAGAATATCTAATCTCTTTTGGTCTGTGTGTGACTATGGAGACCAATGGGCACTATCCTCTTACCCCTATCATTTGTAGCTTGGACTCGAACTCCCTAGAGGAGTCAGACCAGAGCGCTTCATCTTCCATGACTCCAACTTAGCTGAGGCATTCTTGCTGCAGACCACAAAACCTGCCCTGACCTCCAGCAAGACAGCTTCAAGGGCAGCATCTCTCACAAGCTCTGGCTCCCTCTCAGCATTGCCGCAGACAGTCTGGTAAGTGTGAACACAGCAGTCCCTGATGCTTCTCTGGGTCCCAGACTTCTACTCAGCATCTTGACCTCAAGCAAGCTCCACAGACAGGATGCAAATTCTTCCCATGCAGCTGCCAACTCAAGCCAAGAACACATGGGAAAACAAAACTCTATCTGCAGGCTCCATTTCCCAGGTTCTCACTCTGTGTTCTCCTTCTGTAATTCCTCAGAATTGTGGGAGAGAAGGAACAGAATTGTTGCCCGTGTTCCAAAGAAAAGGACAGGTTCTGGATTGGTTTTCCCCTTTTGGTTTTCTTTTATAGCAAATTCTGATCTACCCCCAGGGAAGTCGGAGTTCTAAATCAAGCAACAGTAAAGTTGTATGCTTGGAAAGTAAAGGGGGAGAAAAAAAGGCAAACAATATTTTATAAGATTGTGTTTAATCTTGCTTCAGACATGTTGGTAGTCCTTCATCAGGACTGAGATGTGCTTCAGTGTTTCCCATGTTCTGCCCAAAGGAGGTTTCTATGCAAAAGTGCCTATTGCAATACAGCCTACTGCCTGGAGTAGAGAAACAGCAGATTTTTTTTTTTACTACAGTTTTATTGCAGCAGTTGTCCAGCCAATGTTTGCAATAGTAAATGAGCAACAATATGTGGACCATTAAGCCAGATACATGCCTCCTTCTTTGTTATGCAGCTTTCTCTAGAGATATGAGACTATCGGATGTCCATCTATCTCACCATGCTCAGCTTCCCCATGTAATAGAAAGGGCTATCATTTAGCTGAAAGCTCCCCAAGCGTCTATATAGTAAAGGCCTATTTGCCAGCCTGACATGCTAATGGAAAGTGATAGGATCTTCAGTATATTGGGTTTTGTAGAAGGAAGTTAGGCCCTTGAAGCATGTTCTTCCTGGGTCTGTCTTTGCTTCTATGCCATCATGAGGTAATCATCTTACCCCATCTACTTAATGTACTGTACCACCAGAGGTCCAAAGTAAAAGAACTGCTGTGATAAGCATTATTAGTCAACTTGAATAGCCTAGAGTCTTTTGGTAGAAGAAACCTTAATTCAGGCATCACTTCCATTAGACTAGGCTGTGGAGAATTTTATGAGATATTGTTTTGATCAATGATTGATGTGGGCAGATTCAGCCACTCTGGCCACTTGAACAATCCCTAGTCAGGTAAGCCTGAGCTGAATAAAAGAGAAAAACAGGAAGTGACCCAGACAGTGAGTCAGAAAACCATGTTTGTCCATGGTTCCTGCTTTCAGAGTCGTGCCTCTAGTTCCTGCCTCCAGATGTTTCCTGCTTCCAGTTTCTTGACTTCAGTTTTCTGCCTGCAGTTTCCTACCTTGAATTCCTTCTCTGACTTCCTTCTGTGATAGATTATGACCTAAAAGTATATGATAAAATACACCCTTTCTTTCCCAGCTCACCTTTGGTCAGTGTGTTTTATGCCAGTAATAAGAAAGCAAACTGAAATGAGGACTAACTACTAATTTCCTGGAAGGTTTGAAACCATGAGCCCAAACAGGCTTCTAAGTTAATTGTCTGTCACAGCAGGGGAAAGCTAATGGACTCGGGAAAGTTTGTCTTTGATGACCTCTAATTGCATCCTCTCACTTTTCATGCCTCTAAAATGAAATGTAATTTGAGCAAAACCAATTTCAAATGACTTCATCTGTAACTTTAGTTCATCGATAGTATAATTACTAGTATGGAGTAAAGAGTTCAAACACAAAGTAGGTATTGTAAGTGTTATAAATGCATTAGTAAACAAATGTATCATAAAATATTACTATATTTCACTTGTTCTGAAACAATAGCATGCATCCTCATTGTAATATGACATGTTTCATACACATAATAGGCAATCTTTCCCAAGCATAGCATGGTGGAAAGATAAAATGGAATGAGTCTCATCACCTACCTTCCCGGTACTTGAGGAGAATGTCCCAGAGGCTGCGACGGGAGCAAGGGTCCACCCCACTACTTGGCTCATCCAGAACCACTGTCTTTGACATGCCCATGAAAGCAATGCCAATGGACAGCTTCCTCTTCATGCCTCCAGACAGAACCCGAGCTGGCTTGTGCCGATGCTGAGTTAGCTCTACTTCATCAAGAGTTCTGGAACAACAAGAAAGCCCTCATTCTTTTCCCCAAACACTTAAAAGCTTTGTGCTGGGTATCATGTCATGTACAATCAATTAGAGTGCCTGAGGTCTCTGTAAACCATACTGAGACTCACAGCCAAACATTGGTCAATGAGTAGGAAGTCTTGAGGAATAGTGGGAGGAAAGAGAAAAGGACCCAGAAGTGACAGGAGCTAAAAACAAAAACAAACAAACAAACAAAAATCCCACAACAGAGCCATCTAACCAGGGCCCAGAGGGGTTTGCTGAGACTGAAGCATCAACCAAGGACCATGTATGAACTGGACCTAGGCCCCCTACAAACATGTAGTAGGCAGGCAACTTAGGCTTCAAGTAGGTACTCTAGTAAGAGAAATGGGGACTAAATTGGACATGGACTCACTTGTTGATCACTTTTCTCTGGTGGGACTGCCTTGACAGGCCACAGGGAAAGAGGACACATTCAGTCCTGATGCAACTTGATGAGCTGGGGTGAATGAGAAAGGGAGGTCCCCTTTTCTGAGAAAAAAATAAAGAGGAGGAGTGGAAGGGAGAGAGGATAGGACTGGAAGGAGAGGAGGGAGGAGCTACAGGATATAAAATGAATAAAATAAATGAATGAGAAAAAAATAGGTATACTAGGATACACACTAGGCACTGTAGCATTATGCTTATAGAAGGGCAGATAACACAATGTCATTCGCTCAAGCACAATGTTAGTCATGGCATTTTCCAAGCACTGTGTGTAGAAAGAACTTGGTCAGCTCTCTAGAGAAGTATCTCTTTTCTTCGCACTCAGGCCTCTTGCAAAGAAGGGCTCTGCATTCTTCTAATACAATATGGAGAATAGTGAAAAGCAAAGCCCCCGAGTTCACCAGAGGACTTTAACTCTCTAGCCCACTGTACATGAATTTTTTATGGACCCATCTTACCAGCTACATAATCAGGGATTTGTAATGATGCCCCATGCCAAGTGGAAATCATAAACATTAGAATAAGTCTCCAAAATTGTTTTTCAGTCTTGAGAATTCTAAATTTCAGAAAACTAGCAAAAAATACATTTTTGTATTCACTGGTTTCTTTAAACATTTTTCATACATTTTGATCATATTCCTTCTCCTCCCTCAGTTCCTCCCAGATCATCCCCACCTCCCTACCAACCAACTTCATGTTTTCTCTCGCTCTATAAAAGACAATCAAACAAAAAATTCAATAAAAAACAACAAAGCAAAACAAAACAGACAAACAAACAAACAAAAAAACCCATACGAAAACATGGAGCTCATTTTGTGCTAGACAATGTGAACTGAACTTAGGAACATGCCTTGTTAAACGGGATATCAACCCCATCCTTCAAAACTCAAGGATCTAAGCAAAAGAGAGAGTAAAAAGATTTTAAGAGCCAGAGGTAATAGACAACTCCAAGGAAGCAATGTCCTGCAGACACAACAGGGCTGATACACATATGAACTCACAGAGGCTCTATCAAAAAGCACCAAACAAGTTCAGGCCAGACAAAATCTCAGCATGGAGAAGGGGGCATGGACACACAGTCCCAACTCTGACCAGGAAGTTATTTGCAATTGATAGCTGCTGGGAGAGGGAAAAATCTGTTCTTCCATGGAGTAACAGTATATTACACACTGCATGGCAGGCCCTGTGCTCAGTAGTCGGTCAGCAAAAAGAGTTTTAATGTGGCACTTCTTACTTTTATTAGGAACCCATCCTCCTTTCTCACATAGTTCCAACACCACCCTACTTTAAAGGCCATACAATAGTTACTTACTCTCCTTATTTACTTTAAGTCTTTCCATGTAAACCTTCCCTAGCCAGTGAGAGTAGAGCCCCTCCCAGTGAGTGACAGGTCTGCTTAGCAGTTCCTGACCGCCTATAACTGCAGCAAGGGAGAAGGCTGCTAGACAGGGGTAGGAGAACAACAGGGCTCAACACAGCTGAGCTTCAAGAACACTTGAAGGTTCCTGGAATCCTTCCACTTTTCTAGAAAAGTAGCGAGTGAATGGCAAGCACTTTGTTGTGTGATGAATAAGGAAAATTTTCTTGTCAGTTTCATTCTTTCTTGTCTTTTCTGCCTAACACAGGGAGAGTGCTCAAATCAGCTTCTCACTGTCTATTTTTCAGCTGAGAGTCAAGGTACTTTGAGTTTAATCTAAGACTCAGAGACTACTTCCTGCTTGCTAAATCTCATCCTGACTGCTGTCTAGGTGTAGCCTGGCAGGAAGGAGAAGGAATGCTTCAGCTCAGCAAATGCCTGGACTCTGTTGTCTACCAACACCTTTCCACATGGACTATTTAACACAATGAGGGACATGAGCGCATTAAGCCCATTTGAGGGTGTATTAACCACAAATAAGTCAGCAAAGAAGATAGACGAGAAACAAATTTAAAAAAGAAAACTCTCAAATGCTTTCAAACTTGCATGTGCTTAGAGAAAAGGGCTTCCTGTTTGCCTCTTCTATGGACAGTGCTCAGGGCCTGTACCGTATGTCTGCATTCCTGGAAACACATGTAGATGGATCCTGTTGATGTCTGTGCCCCTGGTCTTTAAATTAATGAATACAATGCCAGCTAATGTCAGTTAAATCAAGGGACTTGACTCTTCCCCAGGTTGCCCACATTGCAAGGATTAGTGGTTCTTAGGTATTGGCTGAGGACAGTGTATGAAAATCTCCCTCTGGGACTGGAGAAGAAATCTATGGCAAAACCTAGTCATTCCCAGCCTGCTGGCTTTAGAGCATGCTCACATGCTTAGAGCACACATAAATATCAGAGAAAAGAAACCATTTGCAAACACTCCCCAAGTGTTATTTTTTGTGGGTGTTTTCCCCTTTGATTTTAAAGTTCAAGATCACTAAAGCCTAGTGCATTTCTAATTATGGAGGTTTTACAAATCAAAGGAAAATGAATAATTTCTATGAATTTAAATTTCTGATTTCTTATAAAAAATGGTCAGAAAATATCCCTAATAAGAATATCGCAAAGCAGTACAAAAAAAAAAAAATCGAGACTTTTTTCTCATATCAAGTCCAATTATGTGCAAAAAAAAATGTGTTTGGAAACTTCTCTTCAATTATTCATTCATTTATACAGCAAAAGCTTACTGAACCCTCAGAATGCATGGCACTGGTTACCTACTAGGGGCAGAGAAATAAATCAAATTTTGTCTGTGATTCAAGAAACACAGAGTCAGGTGGGAAAGCCAGATAAGAAATTACAATAAACTATACAGAAGCTAAGTCCCAGGTTCTGCAGGAATGCCCTCTGACTCAAAAGGAAGTAGCAGAAGGAGGTGTCCAGATGGACAGTGAGATTTGGCAAGGGGGTGATGTGTGAGTGATGTGTTCCAAAGAAAGTTGTAAAGCAGTTTCCAGGACGTGCAAAGAAATTAACGGCATAGGCAAGAAACAGTGACAAAATTCTATTGCAGTAAAAGGGAGGCCACACAATGAACTCTGGATAAGATGGGAGAAGCAGGCTTGACTCAAGATTCACATTCATCATAAATCTTCTATCAAGGTCTAGATGTAGGGCAGGTGACTCATCATGACCTTAAAAATATCTTTCCCCCATTTTCTCTAAAACTGCCAGCCCTAAAACAAAATGTAGCCATGGACTGTTACCAATATTACTGTCATATTCCCATCCTGGATGTGTTCTTAGACTGTCCTGCTCTTAGGTTTACTCTCTTAGGATTCCTGGGAATTCAGTATCCAACATGGCATAGCCCCTCTTTACCTTACCTCCACTATTGGCATTTCCTCTCAACCAAACACACAGCCCTGCCTCCAGAATCCCAATTCTCTGTATCCTTTACTGGCTACATCTATATTTCAACTCTACACCCTGTGATCTGTTCACTAAAGAAAAATCAATTTTCCATTGTCTCTCACTCCCTTAAAGCCCTTTTCCCTTTACCTTTACGCCCATGGTTATCATCAAAATCACTTTTTGCTTGCATTTCTTGTTTTTATTATTCCTTGACAGTCCATGCATACACCATTTCCCCCTTTTAATCCTCCATCGATCCCCTTCTTCCAGCAAGTTCCCTCCTAGTTTCATGTTTTGCTTGTTTCTTTGTTCCTTATTTGTTTGTCTGGTTTGCCTTTGTTAGTTTCTTAATTTTGCTTTGGAATTTTTTTTTTAACCTACCAAGTTTAATTGGGAGCGCCTGCATAAGCATGAGGGAGAGCAGGTGTCATTGCTAGAATGTGGGCTCCTTAGCAGTAGCTACATCACGGAAAAAGATAACTCACCCTTCTTTAGAAACTGCTAATTTCCTCTCTCTCCTTGAGGAAGAGTGGAGCCTCATGAACCCCTCCCACATTTGTGCGATAGCGATGACAGGCCTCATTTTAGGTAAGACCCAGGCAGTTAAGCACAGCTGCTGGGAGTACAGTGGCCGTGCCATATGCAGATGACAGCATCTCATAGCATTCTTCCTTATCGCACATTCTCCCTGCCCCCTTCTCCTATATGGTCCTTTACTCTGGAGGAGATGAGAGAGACATCCCATTTAGAGTCACTTATGCTCAGAACGTTGGTCAGTTATGAGTCTTTGTGTTGCCCAGGCCCACTGAAAACAGAGGCTTCTCTGTCCAAAGCTGAGAATAGCACTAGTTTGACACTACATCAATTGCAAAAACAACAGCATAAAATTGTTTTATAGGGTCTATGACTTTCCTGGCCATGGACCCTTGACAAGGTTTCCGGTTTACGGTTTCAGGCATAAATTCCCTCCTGCAGAGCAGACCTCAATCCCAAGCAGAAAGTGGTTGGTTAACCCGCATAGTCGTCATGCTATGAGTGCACTAATAGTCACGGCTTGCTCGTCAACTTGGTATTGTAGCTCTCAAGTTTCACAGCTAAGTAAGACTAGTGATAACCGTTCTTCCCAAGCAATTTGCACTGCACTTTCCAGCACTGTGAAAGCTAGTCAGGAGGCTGGAAGATTTCAGTTCCAACTTCATTTCTCTATGTCCTGAAACCAATTAATGTGGTATCTTCAAAGTTGTGAGCAACTAAGAGCAATAGCAATAGTCATTGCCTTAGGGACCTCTGGTGTATCTCTAACATATAATTCATAGGAAGGCATTCCAACACCTGGCACTTGGAGTTTTTTTTAATTACTTATGGCTTCTAGAAGCATCATTGTTCACTTGTGCAAGGTACTTCTGCTCAAACCCATATCTGTATCTGTATCTGCATCCCTATCTCTACTGTCATCTATATATGTATATATGAGAGGGGTTCTCAAGTGGCCCAGGTTGATTATAAACTTACCACACAACAGAGAATGACTTTGAGCTCCTAATCCTCCAGCCTCCACCTTTCAAATATGAGATTACAGGTGTGGGGAACAAGCCCAATCTTATGCACTTTTAACTCTGAAATAATTCTGAAAGTCAACAAAGGTTCCAGACACTCTGCTTGCCTCCCACTACATTGTGTGCTGCACCAACTGGAGAGATGATCTTTAACTTTTCTACAAGGTCCCTTAACTATCCTGTGACCAGCAATGTTCCATCAAGCACTCTCCTCTCTAGCTCATCCAAACATTCATTCTTTATTGGACCACTATCAGTAGCAATAGGCAGACATGATGTTACAGTTCTTGCCTTCACACCATCCTGTAACTTCACTTGCCCAATACAGCATCATTCTAGTTCTCTGCTCATGTTGGAAAAAAAAAAAGCGGAGTAAATATGGTATTGTCATCTTCCTTAAATGATCCTAGAAAAATTTCTATCCCCAAATCTCTCTATTGAACTTCATTATTGGTGTCTGTGTAGTAAAACAAAGGTCAGTTATCAAGCTTTACCGTACTTAACCTTGTACAGACTTGAGACACTGAGCCCTTCGTCTTCCTTAAGAGGCCAGGTTCACACCCTGGTCATTATCCTTCTCTGGTCCACACTCTTTTGGCTGGTTCTTCCTCATCTAACACCGTCATTGGGTTACTATAGATATGGCTCAATCCATCATTTCTCTCTCTGCTCTGCTTTCACATACTAATCTCATTTTACACTAAGATAACCTGTCCACAACCTGAGTTCCATAATGTCCACTGTAATACTATGTGGTAGCAATACAACAGCATCTAAATGACTCCATGTCCAAAGATGGTCCCCTCTTGGCTACTCTTGTCTTCCTTAGACCAAGGGAGGAACAAAACAACCATTATCTGCCTCTCGACAAGTGTTTACTCCACAGATTCTACAAGATCTGCTACCTCCCTTGAACTCACATGCTAATGAATTCAGACCTTAAGGAAAACAAACTGTGTTACACAAACTCTAATCAGAAGTATGTTGGCTCCAAATCAGATGTTTTCAGTTTTCCCTCCCTCTAATTGAGAACTACTGTCCTAAAACATGATCTCATTCTGATTGCTTTTGTGTAAATTGGCTTTGTTGCTAGGCAACATGCTGTGAATTGATAACTGTTAAAGGTTGCCTGGCACTCAAATAACAGAATGAAGCCTACGTAACACTGTCAGAACTTGATTGAAGCCCCCCAGTCACAATCACAGTGGAGTTTACTATGGCTCAACAAATACACAATTTTCACACTTAAGTAAGTATTTAGACATTAGGTTTAAATATACTTGACATTGAAGCAAAGCAGTTACGATAGTAGGGGGCATAAGAGTATAAACAAGAGAGGGAGGGGGGAATAAAGAGCAAAAATGCAAGTGTGAGCAAAGCACAATGGCAAACGAGTGTGAAAATGTCACAATGAAACTCATTATTTTGTATAAACTAAAAGTAAACAAAAGAAACTTTAATTTAAACAAGTGACCATGAATTATGTTTTATACTGCGAAATGGCTATCTAGTATATATGTAGTCCATACAAAACATAATATTTCATATAGAGCACTAACTCAGACTTGAGATGGTTTTAAGTAGTCCAAAGTAAGCATGTTCTTTGTATATTCAAGAGATAATTGTTATTTATATTATTTATGCTATCATTTGTTCTGAAAATTTATTATAAGGTAAAGATAGAATAATACTTTACATCAGAGAAAATGTCAATAGGGTGGATTTTGAGGGAGAAGGAAACAGAGAAAGAAACATTTAAACAAACTTGGTGGTGCCATCTGCCACTTTCCACAAGGGCTTCTGTCCCTAGGGGAATTGTTTCCATGAGTTTGAATTTGATAAGCATTTGACCCTCAGAAGATGAGCATTTGTCCAGGGGGACATTTGATTTGTTTTACATATGCCCTTGTCATAACTGGTGTCTAAACATAGGCAGCTATCACAAGTTAAAATTATATAAATACCAATCTTCCAAGAGTGAGCAAAGGAAACTTGTGAAGCATTGCCTTCCTCGGAAGCGCTCTGTCACTTCATACTGAAACTTTGCACTAAAACTGTCATGTGGAGCTGTAACGGCATTTCCCCTGATATTTGGCTTTCACATCCTGGCCCCTGAGACATTTGTGAATTCTCCATTCTGGGTGTGTGGTTTTACCTTATTTTATTTCTAACAAAGACACTAGGTTTAAATATATGTGCATATATAATTGACATTAAAGCAAAGCAGTCACAGTAGTAGGGGGCATAAGAGTATAAACAAGAGAGGGAGGGGGTAGTAGAGAGCAAAAAAGGAAGAAAGTCCTCAACACTGCCCAGCCCCAACCATCTAGATCTTGTGAGTACACCCAGACAACTCTGCTCAGTTAAGACTCTTCAAAGAATCATGCTTCAGAGGATGCTCCCATAGGATTCAGGATTCCCCTAGGCCTTTAAGATCTCTACTAAAGGATGCTAGAAAACATACTGGTTTAAAGCTATCTATTTATTAGACCATAGATCATACTTAATAACAAATAAGTTTCACTTCTCAGGCCATCAGAATGTTCACAAGGCTGGGTATGCTATAGTCAAGGCAGTAGCACTAAAATGTACTAGAAAACCCTTCCTTCCCTGTCCAGACAGTCTTATCACCCTAGAAGCCATTGTTCCTACATGCTGCTGTTCCTACATCATAAAGGCATCCAAGTGCACTTGGCCTGTAAGAGCCCAACTTCCCCATATGAGTTGAAGTTCGTCTCTAAGGATGAACTACCCTGTCTGCAAATTGTCAAGAGTCTCTATATTGCTCTGGGAAGATAATTTCAAATGGGACCACAGCATATCCTCTATTTCCAGGAGCTTCTTGGGAGCCTCTACTGGCCTACTCCTCCCTCAGCCCTGATTTGTTCACTGCTGCAAAACAAATCTTCCCCTGCCTTCTCCTTGGCTTCCTAAGTGCTCCTCTTCCCACTAGAGTCCACAGTCATTCCGTTGTGCAGCACATACTATTCTCCAGGCTGCGGGAGGCTGGAATAATGCTATTCCTGCCTTTGTGTTTGTTATTCTAGCTTTAGTATCAGTCTTTCTTCTGCGCCTCCATCGGAAGGCAGGCAGCAGGAGCGCTGCTGCTGCTTCTCTGTGCACCTGCTGCTGCTGTGGTGTGAAGAGACCTACCTTCCAGACTTCAAGCCAATGACAGTCCTCAGCTCACTCACACCTAGAGGCCTGCTAAATTTGTTGTTCCTCAGCATGCCACATACAATTCTCTTGACCTGTTTCCAAGCCTTCCTTTGTATTTTGCTTATTCCCCATTCAGGACAGATATAGCCTCCCTTTATTCCAGATACACAAAACTTGTACCTCCTGCCTAGACACACTTTCCAAGCTAACTCAATTCTTTCCCCATTTCAGAAACAATTGAAACAAATCTAGTTCTTTTCAAGAAAAGCCTTTTCTAAGATCCCCACTGCTGTTGGTTCTACCATACTTCTATGTACAGGAACCATCCACCATTTTTTTCTCATATACATAGATACAAACGATATTATTAAATATCTCTGTGTTCTTCACCTGCATAAATGTCTAAAGGCAGAAAGGGGGAATAGAAAACTGTTTACTAACTTGTTGACTTGCTGTTGTAGTTGCTTCTTGGTCCACCAAGGTGCTTTGATTGAGCCAAAGAGCATTAGGTGTTCCTGCACAGTGAGGTTGTCCAGGAGAACATCCTGCTGTGGACACACCCCCAGCTCCTCTCTGACCTTAGACAAATCTGTCTGCAGGTTCTTGCCATTTATGATGATGGTTCCAGATGTGGGAGGGTACAGCCCCATCAGCATGGATCTGCAGAGAACAAAGATCTGCATAAGCAACACCTGGACACTGAACATTAATGAGCCAGTCAGTCCTCCTGGTGGAGTGTGTAGCCTACAAGGAAATCACTCCTTTTGCTGACCAGCTTTCCACATGGTCAGTGAAACCATTAGGAAGTCATGGGGATGCTAGATTGTCCCACTATTAAAGACAGGCATATGAATGGTCTCCCAGGGGATAGCGTGTCATTGTAGACCTCTGCAGTTATGTTATACTTGGGCCAATAGTCTGAGTCAAACAAGGTAGGCACAATTCTACTCATATGGTTATAGGGAATTCTAGAGTAAGTAAATGAATTAGTAAACTGGAGGTCATTGGCCACTTGAGAGCAAGGATGAAAGATGACAAAAAAGTCTTGAAAGGGAAAGATATAGAAGTGTTCTATATCTTCACTGTGGTGTTTGCTCTGACATTAGATAAATATGTCAATCCTTACTGAAGTATATGTATAAACGCATGATACTGGCTATTCAAAATTATGCCTTAAGAAATTTGAATACCAACTCTGTGTTATAACTATTTCCAAACCTATTTGGAGACTGAAATAAAGTAATAAGTGTAGGCTCCCTTAGAATTCTTGGGAGTTGAATCCAGGGTAGCTCACTTATACCAAAATTCAGATACTCCAGTTTATTATACAAAAATGGTGGTAAGCATAGTCTAAATAATCTTTCTATGTACTTTGAGTCATTTATATATTGTATTTTTGAATGAATACTGACAAGAAAATGGTAACTGTACATATTTAGAGCAAATTCAATGTTTTTCAGATAGTTTCCATCTGTGTTAGGCAAATGCATGGAAATGGAATCAGTGGACAAAGAGATTCAACTATGTAAACTCTGTATGAGTCTCACAGGCCTTTGTTTTAAATGGTAAAGACCCAGGTCAGTAATTGGCTCTCCTGCTCCAAGCACTGCCAGAAAGAAGCAAACACTTAAGATGTCTCAATCTTCATTCAGAAAAGGAAAGGGGATAGACATCGGAAGAAGGTGAAAATAAGGAACAAGATAGGAGCCTACCACAGAGGGCCTCTGAAAGACTCTACTCAGCAGGGTCTTAAAACTGATGCTGAGACCCATAGCCAAACTTTGGGCAGAGTGCAAGGAAACTTATGAAAGAAGTGGAAGGGCATAGAAAGACCTGGAAGAGTCTGGAGCTCCACAAGGAGAGCAACAGAACCCAAAAATCTGGGCCTAGGGGTCTTTCCTGAGACTAATACTCCAACCAAGGACCATGCATGGAGATAACCTGGACCCCCTGTATAGAGGTTGGCAGACTGAGCCCATTTGGCAGCTCAGTCTCCAAATGGGCTCCCTAATAAGGTGAGAAGGGGCTGTCTCTGATGTGAACTCAGTGGCTGGCTCTTTGATCACCTCTTCCTGAGTGGGGGAGCAGCCTGACCAGGGCACATAGGAACACTATAAAAGACAGTCTTGCTGAGACCTAATAGGCTAGGGTCAGATGGAAGGGGAGGAGGTCCTCCCCTATCAGTAGACTGGGGAAGGAGCATGGGAGGAGATGAGGGAGGGAGGAAGAGAGAGTCCTATCTGGAGGGGATGAGGGTGGGGCTACAGCTGGGATACAAAGTGAATAAATTGTAATAAATAAAAAATTATATAAAAAAGATAACTCCAAATGACACTAAAAGCCAAGTAGTTAGCGAACCCTGAGACATCCAGAACCTTCTTATTTAATTCTCATCATTCTGCTAGAGGAGAACACCCAGTTTTCCTTGTAAGATATGCGTATTAGTAAAGGCTTGCTGGGTTATTACTTGTATAACTCATACGTTCCCAATTTGCAAGTTCTAAGAAAGGAGAGACTCTCAGTTCTCTTTCAGCTTGCAAGGTACAACCACAAATATTCTGTGCTTGTCTTCTGATTTGTTTCCAGGCAGAGCTTTCTGGAGCACCGCAGACACGATTTTTCTGCCTCCCTCACTAAGGTTGAGGCCACATCCTTCTCATCCTTCTGACTAATCATACATTAGACCTGTGCACATTTGGTGAGAAAAAGAATCAGAAGTATTTGCTCAAAAGATACACTCCATAATTTTGGCAGTTAGCCTTAAATAAGGTACGGTTCCACAACCAGCTCAAGGCTGTGGATATTTGAACTCATTTTTTTCCCTTTTTTCCTCTGGGGCTACATGATTGAATTCTTTAATCAAATCTGGAACTATTGGATCCAACTCCAAAATCCAGGACTTAACAAGAAAAGAGCCAAAGAAAAAGAAGATGGAAAAAAAAAAAAAAAGAACCAAAAATTCTTAAAGTTTATAAAGATTTCTCTGCTTTTTTCTATAATTATTCAAACAAATTTTAGCAGGTGTCAAAGGACTCCAAAAGATGAAAGTAAAGCATGATGGACTATTTGTAGAAAGTAAAAGACATTGGGATGTTTAAAAATATCCGTTCACCTCTCCCTTTGGAATTCACACGAGGTCTGAGGTTTAAAACATGATTGAGGATTACTGGGGAAAGGGCTATGGAGAAAGAGCTTGTTTTTCCTTCTGAATCACCAAGTTCTATGTTGAGATCAAAGCATACAAAACAATGTAAAAGTAAAAATGAAAGGAGAAGAAGGAAAGAGAAAAGAAAAAGGGAAAAATGGAGGAAGGAGGAGAGGGAACAGAAAATAAGTTCTCCAAAATGAGACATACATAATGGTAGTTTTCCCTGCACCATTTGTCCCCAGCAGAGCTGTAATCTGGTCTTGGTGGAAGGTGAGAGTGAGTTCTTGGACAGCCAACTTGTGACCTTCATATTCTTTGGTCACAGATATTAGAGCCACTCCTGGGTTTCCTCCTTCCAGTTCTCCTGGGCAATTTTGCTGTGAGAACCCTGTGCAGAGAATGTACATTCACCATGAAAACATTTCAAGAGCCTGGAAAACAATGCCAACACTATCAAATCATCTGCTCCTCTTGGAACAGAATCCTAGCTCCGGGAGGCATGCCAAGCACTTCCACAGTCTTTATTACCAAAACAATAAGCAAGATATGTAATGGCAAAATGCACTGAAGTCACTGACAACAAAGCTTTGATCTCTTAAGAAAGGAGAACCATTCTGTAAAAAAATAAAAATAGATGCATGCAAAGGTTCTGTAGACAGAGATAATAAGTAGGCTGGGTTACACATCAGTGTCCACAGGGAATCTTCTTTCCACATAAGAGTGGATGCTGACTGGATGGTTGTATTTTAAGTCTCCTCACCATCCATAATCTACTTGGTTAATTAGTATTTAAAATTATTTTCAAATATTCACTCAGAATACAAATTCAGCATAATAGGGGCATCCCTAGGAGTGGACCTTATGCCTGGCCTACAGGCAAAGGTCATGATGATGGTAAAGTGACGAATATGAAGGGTCCTGCTTGCCTATGTTGAAGAACTTCTACCGTTCTAAAAAGGAGCCGTAATATCTTGTAAGAAGCTAGTAATATCCTTATTTACAGAAGTATCACAGAAGTTAGAATATGTGAAATTATTTTGAAAAAAAAAATGTTATACCTAGGAGTTGTTTGCTTTTCCTTTCAGTTTACACCTGTTCATTTTGAATTTTAACAGAATACAATATATGCACAAACACAGACAACACTTAGAGAGGAATATTGTAACTAACAGGTGATGGGACCACTCCCTCCCTGGTGCCAAGGCTTATGCAGACATTACGAGGGCATTGCAGCTGAGCCCTGTGATTATCACAGAGCCCAGAACAACCCAAATGGGGGAAGCTTGGAATCTGTACAAAATGATAATCAAAACTAACTAGAGAAAAATGCAACCAATAGAGCTTCCCATTACCCACCTTTGTTGCCCAAGTCCTCATTGAAGAAGAACAGACCAGAACTCAAGGAGTGCCGCCGTTTCTCCATCATTCCACACACAGTTTTCCAATAGGATACAGTGAAGGGGAAATACCATGGCTTCCCTAAACCAAAAGTTCCTGAGAAAATAAGATACAGATAAAATCAGAATGATTATTTTCCCTCGTACATTAAATTCGAGAGTAGGTTACCTTAACTAATCTGTACAAAATGTCATTTCCTGCTAGTAAACTTCAATATGCCCCACGTACATGAACCAGTCTTAATATGGGATAGCATGTCCCCTTAAGAGGAACCCTACATATCCTTCCAAGGAAGCAGTTAGGGAAAAATGAATCAAAGCTGTAGTTCACACTACAGCTATCTGCTAACCTCCCTCAAATCTACTTCCTCAAAGTAACCTTGAGCTGTACTAAGTAAACTAGAAAAAATGCTGGGTGTTCCACCAGGAGAGCCCCTATCTGCTCCCATCGGACCCCTGTGGTGCTTTGCTCTTCTTTGACCTGCCTGTGATGCTTGCAAGGGTTACTAGATAGGATGAGCATGAGCATGAAGTTACTGCCTGAGAAAATTAATCAGCTAAAACTTCTATATAGAAGGATAATTTGCAATGCTAGCATTTCCATATGGAACACATCCACATTCTGCAAACACATTGTCCAGGCTCATCTCAGTCCATTTAGCATTCACTTTGCCCTCATTTTGTGTGGAAAGAAATGAAAGGGCCTCTAATTATTAGTACATCTGAATTTCTGGTAACACACTTTCTAGCCGTAGCATGATGCAGGAAACTTACCTGAAGGTCTAAACTCTACCAGTGACTTGAATATAAAAGGCCCACAGAAAAGGTTTAAGTACTTTGACCACCCAGCAGAAGAAAGAAATACACTTACACACTCTAACCCGAATGTTCAAAAAGTTGGTCACATACTCAAAGGGGGGTGAAGGTCAATAACAAGGTCTACTCCTGGTTCCTGCTTTTGTGTTTATTTCTGTCTCCAAATTCTTTTGTTGAAACCCCAATCACTAGCAAATCAGGACTAAGTGTTTTTGGAAAGGCAGTCTTTTTTCATTAATTAATTTATTTACTTACTTTACATCCTGATAGGAGCTTTCCTACCCCTTCCCCTCCCCTTCTGTTATGCTCCCTCCCATTCTCCTCAGAGAAGGAAAGACTTCCCATGGATATCAATCTACTGGAAAGACAGTTTTGAAAGGAAGCAGTTATGGAAAAATGAAACAAAGGGTGAGTCCTTTTTGTTTGTTTGTTTTTAACTTAGTAGACAAAAATTAATAAATGTTTTTCAAAAAGAGAGAAAGAAAAATCATCATTGTGTAGACTTTCTATGTTGTTTTTTTATTTTAAAAATGTTTTTAGTTAAAATAGAATTCAAATGCCTCCTCTTCCCTCCCTCCAGCCCCTTTCAGCCCCCCTCTCAAGCTGATAACCCTATTTTCTTTGACTATTGTCACGTACATGTAGATAAATGTAATTAGACATAGATATAAATACAGATTTAGATGTGTGTGTTTGCAAATACATATAAATAGATCCTGCTGGGTCCACTTTTGTTGTTTGTGTGATTGTAGTTTCAAGGCTGACCTCATCGCAATATACAACCTACAAGGATGTCCACCCCTGGCTGAGGTTCATCTCCTCCTGGCTGTCTTTGTTTGCTTGTGATTTTTTGTTTGGGTGACCTCTCTTGCAGGTTAGTAGGTCCATAGGTATCTTTATCATTCCAGTCTTTTTTAAAGCAACCATTTCTAGGACAGAGTGCTTCACAGTAGACTTCCTGGAATTCTGGCTCTTTCACCCTTTCTGCCCACTTCTGTGATGTTCCAGGGTCACGGATGCAAGAGCTGTGATGTAGGTGTACCTGCCCGGGCTGGGCTGCCCATAATATGTTGATCTCTTCATTTTGCCAAACTGTAGTTTTCTGTGATCATCTTCATTTGCTTTAAAAAGAGGCTTCTTTGGCGAGGGGCGGTAGCTTCACTCAGCTTTCTGTATAGTTGTTTCGCAGCAACCATTCACAGTAGTTAGGAAACGCGAACAACTTAAATGTTCTTCAACAGATGAATATGTAATGAAAAGAGCATGGCTTGTAGGGGGTTTTCCTCTCCTTGAGAACTCACATGACCTTCCCTCACAGTTTCTGTCACCTAGACTTTCCATGAGAATGAAACACCATAGAATACCATTCAGCTACAAAGAAAAATGAGACGGATCATGAAGCTTTCAGGTAAATGGACAGACCTACAAAAGATCATATTGAGTGAGGTTCTAAGACTCAAATAGAAAAATGCTGCATATTCTTGTTCATCTGTGATTCCAAATCCTTAGGTGTAAATATAAAAAGCTGGAGTAGCCACAGAAACCAGGAAAGTGTAGAGAAACAAGTGTGGGGGCTGCTAGGAGAAAAATAACAGGATATAGGTGAAATGAAGTGGAAATGAAGCAGTGTGAGGTGCTCCAACTGGGGAGAAGGAGAATGAAAAAACAAATAACCCTCAGGTTGTTTGATAAAGCTTTAAGGAATTATTTATTTACATAAAATTATACATACACATATATATTTAATACTTAGTATATATGTACATAAACATATATATATATATATATATATATATATATATATATATATACACACACACACACACACACATACATGTATATGAAAGTTAAGCCACTTACGCTGGCAACAATCCCCACAAAAACCACAGACTAACTGAAACCTTAAAAAACCCAGGGCATTAATGATAGGTGTGGGTAGTCTGAAACACTCCGGAAACAATATAAATTATTAATGTATCCCTTAGTTGTCTCTCAGAGACTAACTGCAGGCCTCTACAGCTGAAGGTACCTCACACTTAGGACACAGAACTCAGATGATTGAAGAATGATCTTACAGAAAACAAACAAGCAAACAAATATGAAGCTTCTTCCTGCAATCTAGCATCCATGGTTCCAGAAAATGCAGTGCAAACTGCCAAGGGAGGGAAGCAATTACAAGTCCTACCCAGATGCAATACCTATGAATCACAACAACTACCAGAGTAGCAAGATATGCATAAAGATGCAATAAGTGGCATTCACATGTCCATGTCATTAACAACCAACAGTTGTCTGGTTAGACTTGAAGCCCGATCTACAGGAGAGAAACAATGCCTTTTACTGGAAACCTAGCCAACTTCCAGGGGCTAGAGAAGCCATGGACCTCAGAAAAGGATCTACTACTGGCACTTTGCTATAATCGTATAATTCATTACCTCATTGTAAGTCTTATACCCTTATCCACGGGTAAGTGTTTCTGCTTCATTCTCAAGGAAAGACTAGGTGACAGAAACTGTAAGGGAAGATCAGGTGAGTTCTCAAGGAAAGGAAAACCACCTACAAGCCATGGATAGAGGAAACCACTGCCCTGACCCCCTTATCTCAGACTTGTAACCTTCAGTACTCTGAGACACTCTTTGATGGTAAAGGCCCCAGTCTATGGCACTGTGCAAAAGCCAAGCAACAACTCCTTCATCCCTGTGGAGCAAGAGTCTCCTAGACAAGAAACTTGTACCATAGCAGTGTTATCCTGTTCCTTCCTACCTCAAGAACCATCCAGGCACTTTATCTGCACGTATTCACAAGCCATAGTACTGCCAGTATGCCAGTCAACTACCATCTTTACCTGCCCAATAGAAACAAGGATAAAGGAGAGCTTGCCCAAGAACAGAATTGACGGCTCTGGAAGCTACACAGTGGCTGGCTTCTGTTCTCACCTTATCTGTCTATCTGAAAATATAACACAGGCACAGCAACATGAAGACCTTGGGTGTCCTTTTACATAAGGTTCTTCTGCCTTGACCAAAAGAAAAAGGATGGTCACCTCCTTTTTGAGTCCCAGCTTAGTTGCAAATTATTTAATAAGCCTCATTATGTAAAAGCATGAACAATGCAAAACAAAAAGACATAACAAGCAAACAAATACAATGATTCTGTATGTGCTAGCTGCTGTTCCTGCTCTTCCATTGTCTTCTGAAGTGACAGGGTCCCACTAAGGGGCTTCTTAAGTCCATGTGTTCCGCCATCACTGGGGACAATAGGAGTGGGACAAGTCAGTAACAGGATACAGATGCTTAATGCACTTGTAGGTTTTGAATTAGTGATTAAAGTTCTAAATGGCAAAAACAACACAGAGCTGAAGACACCCTTTGGGTGTAGTCACTGTTCTGTTGTGTATAATGAAAAAGGACAGAAGTTAGACTTTCAAAATAGAAGAAATTAAAAAAATCATGCTTTCATTTAATGAAATGTTGAATAACCATTCATATTTGTAAAGACATGGCTAGATGACATTATTGCTTTCAAACAGAGGGAAATATATCAATGTATTATGAACCCAGTGATGTGTAGAAAGGTATCTGAAAAGGAATGGAAATTATATTACTATTTCTGGTTGATTATGTTGGAGACAAGTGAATATTTTTTTCTGCTTCATCTAAAAATGTAAGAATGTTCTGAAGATTTTACAATCAAAATAGGTCCGTGTGATAAATTACAGCTCACAGTTTCAGAATCAGCAGGAAGAATGGCTCCTCCATACATCCTAGACGTGAACCCAGTAATGACCTGCCTGTTCCAAGGAAGCTACAGAACATCTTCATGCACTGGAAATATCGAGAGAAAAAAAAAGCCAAAAAAACAAACCAAAGCTCAAATCCACTTAAATTAAAGTACACATTACAAAACCATTTTCATGGAATGGCTTTCAAAGAGCTGGTCATGATGCTTCCACACCTGGGTGAATGCACAAGAATACACACATGCATATATACGTGGACACTTGCGACTCTGGACTCTTTATGTTTTCTCCCTGAAGGACTAGCTCACGGAAGGCACTGCTGAGAATAGGCAAGGCATGCTTCCTGGGGAGCAAAAGCAGGGACATTGAGACTCTTCCCAGGGACACAGTGAAGCGGGCCAGCCCCAAAATGAACAGAGCACATGAGGAAGCAGCTCAATGCAAGAAACCTTAAGTCATCTGAGTCCATAGCAAACTGTTCCTTGTTTGGCTCTTCCCCAGTTTCATCTTTCTGTCTCAAAGACATGCCTGTCATATCAATG